CGAGCGGGCAGCGCGGCCGGGCATCGCCCCCCGGCCCTGCGCGGCGCGGGGGCTGAGCCGTGAGGGGATGAGGAGCGCGGGGTGCGGAGCGGGGGCTGCCAGGGCCGTGCGGGGATGAGGAGTGTTGGATGCCGGGCCCGAGCGGGGTGCTGGATGCGGGATGCCGGGGCTGTGCGGAGGCTGCAAAGGGCCGTGAGGGGATGCAAAGTGCGGGGGACCGGAACGGTGCGGGGAATGTGGGGTGCGGGATGCTGGATGCCCGGGCCTTGCGGGGTGCGGGGTTCTAACGGGCTGAGCTGGGGTCGGTCGCGGTAAGGCGCTCGTGCTGCTCCGTGTCACCGAAAGTTTGAGCCCCCGGGCCGGTGCGTGGCCCTGTCCCCAGCTCTGCTCTGCCCGGCACAGAATGACAAAGGCAGCGTCGGCTTCTCCCGGCTCTCCAAACCCTCTGTGCCGGGGCACGAGAATGACTTCAGAGCTGTCACCGCTGTCGTTAGCAAGGACCGTCTGTACCTCGAACCCTGACATGAGGTAAAGCGATAAACATCATAAACTACAATTCACATCCGACGTTTTAATGCCAGAATGCTGAGTATTCTCTTGACAACACAGCTACTACTGAACAACCCCAGTAACCCCCCTTTTCTGAGCCTTATCCATGCGCCACAGTTAACCCTSCTTTTCAGAAAGATGGCACCAATAGGGATTAGAAATTCAAACAACCTTGAGCCATTGTATCCTACAAGGCAACTTTTCAAAAGGTAAGAATAACCCCTCTCACCTTAAAGCCGTAATTAAAAACAAAAAAAAAGGGAAACAGAAAAATCAATGCCATGGAAACAAACCTAAAATTGCTTTGGAGTTTTAATTTAGTCTTAGCTGCACATGAAGTCTTTTATGGCTTCTGTGTTCACATCCAGGATCCTCCTACCAACCTGGAGAAGAGACAGGCACATAACTCATAGTCAGACCCTAAAACACTGTGGTCAGTCCGTCAAACACACTCGGGTTCATTATTCTGCTAGGAGGGTGAAAATGTGAATGGTTTGCGTGACACAGAGCTAGAAATACCTCACAAATTGCTGAAAACCGGCTTTTGGCAGGCACTGAGGGGGAAGCTGGTTTGGGGGTTATCTATAGGGGTGTTTTGGCACATGATAAACAGAAGGTTTGTTTCCAGAGCTGACAACTGAGATTTTTCTTCTCTATAAATAAAAGCAGTTTTTATTAAACAAATAAACAAACACCACCCAAACTTGGCAGAGTAGTTTACCAAAAAGGGAAAMCACATGGCCTGAACTGTCAGTAGCAGAAATATTTGTGCAAGCAGAAAAGTACCTGCTGCTTATTCTGAAGCAGCCTGGGATAAAGACCCGTTCCCGTTGTCCTTCATTACCCACTGCTCCCACTGAAGTCAGATTGGTGCATTACACAGTAACAGCAAGATCTATTTTAATTATMAACCAGTTTGGGAAAAGCTGGGTTTGAAGACATTTGGCACATGGCTGTTACAGATGATCCCAGTGCAAAAAAAAAAATCATAATTTTAGGAACTTAAAAAAAGAATGCAATAATTTGAAGCAGCTCCTTGCTGAAGGACAAGGCACATATTTTTGCCACCAAGAAAGGAGSAGAATTAAGTCCCCAAAAAAACACCAGGCAGGGAGAAAGCCACAGCTCCCCTTAGGGTGACAGATGGCCWCAGGGCACCTGGCACCATGAGCATGTGTGGTCCTGGGGAGGAAGCATGGCAGGAGAAAAGAAAGATGTCCAAAAAAATGCAAGGGAAAAATATCTATGGGAATTAACACGAAAGATTCTGAATTCTGCAAATTCAGAATACACATGTGCCAACAGCTCCCCTGCCCTRTCTGGGAGGATTCACTTCAAAAACCTCCCCGGGAATCTGTTGTTGCTGCTGCTGCTCTGTTATTCAGGGGAGAGGCAAACAGACTTCRAAGCTGTGCTGACTGACAACGATCCCATCACCTGGGACTGTCCCCAGCCCAGCTACATCTGCCTCCAGGAGAGCTGGCCCTGCTGCTCGCCTCGGGGAYAGCTGGGCAGTGCTTCCCTTTGCAGAGCAGCCTGAGAAAAAACTGATCCCCCTTCTGAGCTGTTGTGCAGTTCCCCAGGCCCCTTCTGCCATGCTGCTCTCAGCAGCAGCAATGATTTTCCTTTAATTTCTTTCATTTCTTTCCCTTGTTCATTTCTTTCCCTTGTTCATTTCTTTGTCTTGGGGAAAGTTGTTTCCAATTTTTCCGTTGTACTCTAATCACTTCTGGTCTGAGGACCAAGCCAAGCACGAAGTACTCCCACCAAAGATCACATTCCCTTCAGTGTGTCCTTAGAAATTCCCCCAGCATGTTCTGAACAAGGCTCAGGTCTCTGGGACTGCCAGAGAGCCAAGGGTCACCTGTGTCACCAGAGCTGCAGAATTCTCCACAAATATATCCCTCTGTCCGTCCCCTGCAGCGACGAGGGGAGCAGAGTGCTTTGGATAACAAACAAAAGGGATCAAAGAATCCACTGAATCAGASAGTCATGGAATCACCAAGGTTGGAAAAGACCTCCAAGGTCATCGAGTCCAAACTAACCCAGCAGCACYACCCTGTTCAGCACTGACCCCTATCCCCAAGGGCCACATCCACACCTTTTTTKAAYACTTCCAGGGATGGTGACTCCACCCCTGCCCTGGAYAGCTGTGCCAGGCCCTGACCACCCTTTCATTGTTTTCCTGATAGCTAATTCAGCCTCCCCTGGAACAGCCTGAGGCCACTTGCTGTCACCCTGCCCTGGAGATGGACACCGAGAGGACATGGCTGCAGGAGACCAAGAAAAGTTATGATCTTCTACGGTCTTTGTGGCATTCCAGGTCCTGAAAGCCGCTTCCCCACCCATATTTCCTTCTGAGATTTGCACCCCTGGAACACTGAACTAAACTTCAACAGCAAATACAAAATGGTAGCTTGAAAAGATTTGTCAAGACTCCACTCTCTAAATCAGGGTTCAACCAAGGCATAGCTCAGCCTCCACTGGAGAGTCTGGAGGTTTTTTGCTTCTATTTTTTATCTTTTTTTTTTTTTTTCCATTTTCATTACATTTCTACCAAGAAAAAAAAGAATCTTGAAACATTGTTACTAAATAGAGAAGAAGAACTAAAGGATATTTCTCAGTATCGGGCAGAGGAGATCAGCTTGCATGTCTAATAGAAAAATTCTATTTTTGCCCTTTCCAGTGGAGTTCTGTGAACAGCACACACACACTTTTCAAGTGCTAGCCAAAATAATTACTTCTCTCCTTCTGTGGGGGAAAAAAATCCACTAAATCATGAATATTCAATGGATTGGTTAATGACATAGTAATGCTTTAGCTGAAGTCTTTGCTCCTTAAAATACAGCCAACATGAGCTGCCAGTTACAAGAAGAATTAAAAATACAAAAATAACTTGATTTGCAGAACTTATCACCCCCCAATCGCTTCAGAAGTGTGTGATGGTAGCATGATACCATGACAGATCTGGGGCAGACTGTCTTCACAATCTGGGAGATGTAAAACAGKCAGGAAAAAATAGTTTCTGTTACTCACTGCAGCTTCTGTCAGTGCTGGGGGCTCTGCAGGGCAGAGGTGCCTTCCCTCAGGACCAGTTCTGTCCTCTTCCAGATGATCCCAGCTACATTTCCAGCCTTAGAGCACCAGCATGAGAAAATAAAACATTTGGGTCCTTCAGCTAAATTTCCTTGAAGTGCATAAATGAGCCTTTCTGTGACCTAATCCCTGTAGGAAAACAATGATCTGCATAAGAAAATAACCAACAAAACCAAATAAAAATCTGCAGAAAATGTTCAGTTCAAAGCCAATTTTGTGTCCTCAGAATCTGAGCGTTCTGGCTGGCGTGTGGTGAGTGAAATCGGGTTATTTCYTTGTTTTCAGGCTTCAGGTGGTGCTCAGGAGTTGCATTTTCCCYTTTTCCTCTCAAGCTCTCAAAAAATCCTGAATATTCAGCCTTAATTTTGTTGTTTTGCCACCCAAAGCACCCCTGAGAAGCCCCACATCCATCAGGCAGGTGAATTTAAGCCTCCATGTTGCCTTTGAACTCYTTGTTTTTCCCACTGGAGTTTTCTCCATGCCGGAATCTGCTCCCTGCAAGGGTCACCAACATCACTGTGATGCCCAGGCTAGTGAAATGAGTAAAACTTGCATTGAAAGATTTTTTTTATTCTTTTCAGAAGCCAATATTACAAAGTTGATGGCTCACTCTGCTCTCTCTGAGCCATTTCTGACAGCACTTCAGGCACGTATTTAACATCGAGGAGTGAACCCTTTATCTYCAGCCGTAACGTTTTTCTCCACTCTGGGAACAGCCAATGCACCAAAGTAACTTTCCTCAGCGTTATCTTCAAAGTTTGGAACATATTTAGTTCCACATTACAATAACTCTATTCATATTT